ACCTTGGCGAGCAATGGCTGGGGCCAGGGAGGACACTGGAGTGGCCTTTGCAAGCTGGGAGGCCAGCAAGCATCTCTCCGCAGTTCTGTCAGGCGGGGAGGGACTAAAGCCATGGCTGTTTGCTGGCCCCAGAGGGAAATGAGCTGTGGGATCCCTGTCCTGTTCTCTGTCCAGCCCTACAACAGAAGCTGCTTTGCCCACTTATTGACAGTCATAACGGCAGGGCCAAGGACCAACTAGGCCACAAAGAACGGGCCCCCTGTCAGCCTCCTCCCATGGCAGGGGAGGTGGGGAGGGCAGGTCCCACAGCCGAGCCCGGCTGCACCTGCTCTGGGGTTAGATAATGGACTCAGTCCCCAGGGCTGTCAATGCAGCGGAAGTGCTATCCTGCTCCTGGGAAAGCCAGCGTGGGGCTCAGGCTCTGGGCTGGCATTGGCTAGTCCCTTACCCTCGCTGCACTTGCAGATGAACGGCTTTCTCTCCTCACAGCTGGCATCCGTTAGAAGTCCGCTTGCTGTATCCAGCCACACACAATCCTTCAGGCCGCCGTCCGCCAGGTCGTCTCGTAAGTGCCTTCCCCAAAACAGAAATGAACCGCAGGGCTGTTATTGTGTGGCAAGCCGTGGCCAGCACCAGCACTCGCCTAAGCCCTGGTTTGCTTGTCATGCCCTACACCCAGCGCTGCTCACCACCCCTTCCCTTCACAGCCTAGCTCCCCTGGCCTGCTCGGAGGTGCTTCTCTTCAGGTGGGAAGGTGGGAACTCCCAGGAGGCCCTGGCGCAGACCTGCCCTTACCGAGAGAAGTTGGGTTACGCTGTGTCTGATGCTCCCTGCAGCACAGTTCAAACCTGTGGCAAAAACACCTCTCTGCAAGGAGCAAGTGAGGAACAGGCAGCACCCTGCGCTCCCGGCTAGAGAGGCCTGCAGCCCGCTTTGCTTTGCTTAAGTAGTGACTTTTTAGTAGTGACTGGGGGGCCATCTAGTGGCTAAATTGTGAACTGTCACTTTAAAGGAGGTAGGGCAGTGGTTCTCAACCCTTTGTACTGGTGACCCCCTTTCACGTAGCAAGCCTCTGAGTGCGACCCCCCCCTTATAAATGAAAAACACTTTTTTATATATTTAACCCCATTATAAATGCTGGATGCAAAGTGGGGCTTGGGGTGGAGGCTGAGAGCTCGCGACCCTCCATGTAATAACTTTGTGACCCCCTGAGGGGTCCCGACCCCCAGTTTGAGAACCCCGAGGTAGGGCCTTTGGATGAAGCTCTCTGTTCAGAGTCACAGATTCCAATGCCAGAAACTACCACTGTGATCAGCTACTCTGCCCTTCCTGCATAGCACTGGCTGGCGCGCCGCCCCCAAATAATCCCTAGAGCAGAGCTTTCAGAACATCCAGCGATGACAAATCCACCACGCTTTCCTGGGAAATTCTCCTGGGGAAAAGGGAGGCTGCGTTGCACTGTATGTCAAGAATGTATACAACACACACACTCACACAGTATGGACCTTTGTCCCCCTCTAGTGGCTAGACCCCATATAGTGCTTTAGGACTCTGCCCCTGCTCTGAGCTACCAGCAACAGCTCTTTCGTTCAAGTGGCAGAAACTGGTGCTTTTGGATCTAGAGATCTCACGTTCATTTCCTGCAGGTGTTCCAAACAGGGCTACGCTGCCTCGAACCCCCAGACCACTCAGCTCCCAGAGCCAGGCCCAGAACGCAGGAATCCCGACACCCAGTGTTTTAGTGCTGGTTCACAAATAGCAGAGGACAAGAGCAGGCCTCTCCCAACGGTTCCTCCTCTAGCTGCCGTGGGTGGAGATCTGGGCTGCGTATCTGGAGGTTATATGTTCAAACTTGGCTAATGGCCTGTGTGGGGCAAGACCACTGCTTGTGGCTGAAGAGAGCAGAAGACTCGACCTGTGTGAGCGCCACACAGGTCAGAGATTGATCGAACTGACATCTCTCTCCAGAATACAACTTTGCTCTCCTCGGTGGCACATCAGCACTATGGGGGGCTGGCTGCCTCAGGGTGTTGCTAATGAGCTACAGAGCCTTCCACCTGAGGGGATGTGTGGGAGTCCAGCCCAGATCACAGAGATGAACAGATCATCCCACCCAGTGGGCATTTGGTGGCCCCTAGCTGGGATGTTTGCTGGGTCTCAGTCCCAGCTCTCATGTCACTAACAGACGGCAAGAGCTTAGCAGCAGTTCACAAAGGAGGGGAGACGTTAGCCCATCCGATGGCTGGGCCCAACATTCAGAGACAGAAACCCCCAGGCTTCAGTGCAAGAACCAGCGCCCACTGCAGGGATTTAGGAAGAAACTTTTCTGATGGGAGGTTTACTCCCGAATTGCCCAGTGGGGGGTTTCAAACACCTTCCCTGTAGGAAGTGTCTTGTCCTGGCCACTGTCGGGACAGCACACTGGACTAAATGGACCTGCTGATTCCTGTGTTCCTCTGCCTGGCCAAGACTCGTACAGGCCCTGCCATAAAAGCTTTCACGTAACGTCCATGTCAAAAGTATCAGGAAAGCCAAGTGCTCACTCCGCGAGCTGCCTGGTGATGGGATCGCGTGTAGTCCACTGAAATACGGATTCATCCGTCTGATCATTCAGGCCTGTCCAGAAGGCACCCCTGAAGTTTGAACATATCCAGTCCTGGAAGGAAACGGGACAGTCTCAGGACTGGGGGGCAAGACATTCTCTTACACTCCTGTGTAGGGTAACCAGATGTCCCCTTTTTTAAAGGGACAGTCCTGTATTTAAGTCTTCCTGCAAGGGTCCTGACTTTTTCTTTAAAACACGCAAATTGTCCCGCATTTTCTGTCTCCCCCTATCAGTACTGGCGGGTCCTGCTGCTGGCCGGATCCTTGCTCGCCAGCCGTCCGCCCACCAGCAGTGAGTGGGGGGGTCCAAGGGCTGACATTGGGTGTGGGTGTGCAAGGCTGGTGGTGGGGCGAAGATGCAGCACTCGTGACCGGCCGCTCCCCTTGCTGGTTTGTCAGCGCAGCCCCCACTGGGTGCTGAGAGCTGCAGCAACTGGTGAATGCGGATAGGCGCCAGCCAGTGTCGGACATGCATCCGAAGAAGTGGGTATTCACCCACGAAAGCTCACGCTCCAATACGTCTGTTAGTCTATACGGTGCCATAGGACTCTTTGCTGCTTTTGCAGATCCAGACTAACACGGCTACCCCTCTGATACTTGACAGCCAGTTAAGTGTCGCCTCTCCTGCCCCCCGTCTGCCCTTTACATGCTCCCCCTCTCTGTCCTCTCCCTGCTTTTCCCTTTCACAGCCCCCTCCCCCCGGCTGTGCGGAGAACCAGCCCCTGGTCGGAGCGTTCAGCTGACTGACAGCCCGGCTGGCAGGTGCCTTCCTTCCCCCGCTGCCTTTGGCTGGGCCAGCGCCCCGGGAAAGCCCAGGACCCCCCAGCCCAGGGCACTGGCCAGGAGGA